GACTGCCACGCTGGCTCTGGGAAATTATCTGAAAAATTAGAAAGTGAACTTTGCAGTTAGTTCTTTATGATCTGCTTTAAACTGACCCAGAAAAGCTGCACACACATGGTTTTAGATAACCTAGTCAGAATGTATCATATCTCTGGAGGGAAATTTATAGCAGCCTGCTCAGTTTTAAAATTCAATATATTTCCTTCCAAAAGACATAAATGCAACAGATGTCTTCCTCTGGAAGAGAGTCCCCTGAAAACTTAAAGAAAAATAATTTTCTTGCCCTTAGTTGTTTCATAGAGTCCAAAAAGGACTTCTCCAGTTTCTCCTCCCAAATACTTTTCAGCATCATTCAGTTATGTTGACTTTCCTATGGCACAGAATGGTCCTTCACACCCATACAAATGTGTCCATCACAGCCTCCCTTCAGTGACGGCCACGTAACACACAGGAGGTGAAGTCACAATACTGACAGACAAGATTACACTAGTGCTACAGAAGTGCTATGGAAGTGAAAGGGAAGCAAATACCACATTCAAAAAAAGCAACACACACAGATGACAAAGCAGTGAATCCTGATAATCCCACATCATGAAATTTACAGGTTAGAAAAAAATTTAAAGTCTGTGAAAAGCAATTAACTTAGATTCAGTTATGGCTGAAGACAGATGCTACAGCATTTTAATATATAGCCCGCGATCTCTCTGTGTACTAAAAAAAAAAAAAAACAAAACCCAAAAAAACCCAAAAAACCCCACCAAACAGCAAGTTCATTGTAGCTCCACTCAGTTTACAAATGCTAAAAACATCACAAGGGTTCCTGCGGTTTAGGTTGATTTGTGGGTCAAAGGCTTATTGATAGCTTTGGTAACAATATCTTTCTCACTGCTTACTATGGAAGACTTAGAAGTAGCATAATTAAATGCACCTATTTAATTCTAAGAAAACCAAGCAGCTTCATTCTTTCAGCCATGGGCACTAAAACGTCTTACCATACTTGCAAATCTTAAGCCACCCCTCAGTGGACAAATGCTTCTAATATTGTATCCTTTTCCAAACAAGATTAAAAAAGACTATGTATCTCTCAGAACACCTAGTGACCCCTATGCTTGTCCTTACCATGGTTGTCTGTTGCCATGAAGAGGTCCTAAATCCAAAGACTTGACAGAAAATTATCAAAAGCTTTTTGGCACCTTCTCAAGACTAAAAGACAAGTCTACACGTGCACAAGTCCTCCCCTGAAAATGATCCTTGTTCAACCACTATTGTGGCTGAGAAATGTAAATAGCTAACTGCATAGGTTCACTTACATTGCAAACACAAAAGAGAGAAGGACAAACAAGGAAAAACAATTGTGGCATAAAAGCAAACAATTAGGAAGCAATTAAGACCAGACATCACTGCAATATAGTAAACACAACTATGACACTGAACAATGCCTTTCTTCATTGTTTTTTCCATTCCAAACCAAGCTCCTATACTGAGAAGGAAGCATCTTAGAACATTTTAAAAGTGCAATACGCTCATTTCATCAATTACCTGTTCCTCAAAACATAATATTAGCAACAAAATCTTTGGGGTTTTTTGTTTTTTCAAATGCAATCCCAAACTCAGACATATCACAGCCTGAAGTGGCCCGCACAGCCGGCAGGCTTATTTTTTCTGAACTAAGAGCCAGGCAGCAGCCTAAACTCAGCCTTGCAGACCTCTAGCTCCAACCTTACCAAAAAGGCAGCAGCACTCAAGCACTGCTGGCTACAACTTACGTCATCTCATGGTACGCAAATTCGATCAGCTACTTTTTGAACATGTATGCTCGCTTACAACAAGAAGCAGATATTTATTTCATCAAGGAAGAACAAAGTCACCCAACAGGAGAATGGCAAAAACTCAACTACCTCAACTACTACAGGGAGTAACACACACAAAGCCAAACGAAGTCTGAAGGACAGGGCTGGCAACACAGCTAAGCCTCCTTGATTGCCAGTTTGCGCAGCAAAACAGGAAGAAGCCTCCTCCCTGTCCTTTGCCATGTCCAGACACTCCTGCTGCTTCCATTATTCTGACACCATTCCTCATGTCACTACACACAATGACACCAAGTAAGTAAATCAACAAAAAACTAATCCCACCAAAGAGGAATTAAATAGTTTTCTGCTGGTTTAGCTGCTTTAACCAGCTCATTAGAAGGATGAGAAGCTTGTCAGAGAGCACTATCTGCAAACAGCACCCTAACAAACTGGTTGGGGGTCTTTGGGGAAGAGAAATCAGGAGGGAAGGAGAGTGACAAGTGACTTTAAAAGGCCTTTTTCAATAGAGTTAGAAAATCGTAAAATGAACTGTACCACAGGCAGCACAACGGGCAACACGAACACCTCTGTATAAGGTTTTCATTGCCATGGTTTCTAGAAGCTTTCTGTTCCTTGGTGCTCCCTTGCTTGAAACTGAGACCAGCTGCCAGCCAAGGGGCAAATCTTTTGACAGCAAGCATTTCCAAACAGGAATGAAACACACTTAACACTACAAATGAAGTGACATGCTTCAATGTTGAATACAAACTTCAGGTAAAAGCATGTATTTCTACAGCTAATAATTCAAGGAATCATAGAGCCATTCAGGTTGCAAAAGACGCGTAAGATCATTAAAATCAACCATTAACCTAACACTACGATGAAAGCTATAAAGCAGCTAAAAGAAAAAAAAAAAAAGAAAAAGCTTTACTTTCTGTGAAGTTCATTGTCAGAGCTGATTCCATGTAAGCTCTAACTCTAAGGAATACTTTTGCTTTCCTCAAAACACAACAAAACTGTTACCAAGACTTAAAATAAAAAAAATCTGTAAAAAGTTGCCAATAACTTTGCAGTTCTTTCTCTGATTTACTCATAGGCAAACTCAAGAGACTTTTCATTCCGAGTACTCTTCCAAAAAAAAGAAATCAAATGCATCACTAATGGTAGCGGTTAAACAATACATTTTGCAGTAAGGTAACATATTCATGTGTCAAGAGCACCTACCCTGATCTCTGCTCTGGGAACACAGCCCGCACAGATGTATTACGCTAATCAAGCCAAAACTGAAGAAAACTGGTACATTAAAATACAGGGAGAAAAACATCTGAATGTTTGACAAGCATATAATTCCCATTTCTAATAGTTTCTAAATGCCTACACGTTGATTTTCAATGACCGAAATTCCAGTTTAGAAGTGCCTACCAGTCTTCTGTGGGAGTCCTTGATAAAGTGGAGATAAATACCACCTCTCCAACTTTTAACTACAGAAGGAGTACTCAGGAAGCACTCGGTTGCTCTCCAGCTAGAGTAAGCTGAAAAACACAGCCCACTTTAGAAACAGCTAAGTGGCAGCAACTCAGCATCTAAGAAAGCTGAGGAAGAGGAAACAGCAAAATAGCCATGATGTTCTTCAAGAGCAGGAGCAGACAAGGAAATCAGAAAGGCCACAATGCTTGTCAATCTGGAAACAAACACACCAGCTCTGATTTTGGTATTACTCTGCAAGAGATATAAGAGAAAACAGAAGTAATGTCCTACTGCATCTTCTGCACATACACAGACACACAAACTACGATTTTAATGAAATTTTAAAAAAAAATAATTTAACCCACATGCACCATGAGAAGCAACTACTAGGCTCCACCGTTCTATATAACCAGACAGAGAAGGAAGAGTGTATCTTTCCTGCACCTTTGTTTACAAGTTAATTTTGCATCAATTCATAAACCTGTGTGCCCCAAAAAACAGCTCCTCATCTTCACCCTTACTTGCTGTTTCCATCAGCTCCACGTCTAAGTCTCATCAGCTACCACTACTTACATGAATCTCATTTAAAAAAAAATAGACATTGGAATTTTCTGAGAGGGATTTACTAACACAGAGATGGCTTTTGTTTAAGAAAAGCCAATTTCACAACTTCAATAATAAAAGTGAGTCTTTTCCTTTTAAAAATAAATGGTTTTCATCTAGCTTCTTTTTTATGTAAGTTTTGTCAGCGTAGGATAACACAAGCATGTTACCATATGGCACGCCTACCAGAACTATCTTTAATTTTTTTCCCTTGGAGATATAAGCTGAAGTACCTGCAACTATGCTGTAATTTCCTTTTACAGAGAACTTATGAAGCTGATTTTTTTTTTTTGAACTAGAGATATTTTCTAGTCCAATTCCCATCTTTAATTTTTTTTTTTAAAGATTCAGGATAACCCGTTCAACCACTGAAAAGATTTATAAAGTCTTTTCAGAAATGAAGAAACAGATCAGAAAGAGAAAATAGTGGAGCTGAAAATAACAATTGCTGTCAAAACTGAGTTGTATTAATTCAGTGACTTGTCTCACAAGACAGTCTTTTTATAATGTTACCCATAACGAGAGAGGACAATGGTTTCCCTTGATTTTTTTTCCCCCCCACCACGTAGCTTTATATGTCACTGGCCCTAGCAACAGCGAAGAATAGCAATGGATCTGTCAGCGGACAAGGACTGTGCAATGGGCCCGCGAGGGGGGCCCCAAGCACCCTGTGTTATACAAGCACAATCGCCCTGTTATTTGACAACAAGCAAGTCTGCAATCAGAACACGGTTTTCCATACCCTACTTGAGTGTCAAACTGACAAACTACAGCCAAGTTACCAGCAATAAACCTGTGTGACCGGTTCACTGCAAGTTAGAAAATGTTTCTAGTCTAAGTGCACAAGGACTGTCTTCAACTGCCCCATCTTTATTGCGAGTTCAAAATTGTGAGACAGTTCACAAAAAGACAACAGTATCACTGACGCAAGAGAAAACAGCATGGACAATCAAATAACCTTGCTACCTCGATACCAAGGAAACTCTTGATGAAAAAAAGGGTGAAAAAGTACTACAAAAAACTACATAAAAAGTACCATGAAAGTGTGGGGGTTTTGCAGCTCAAAGTACAATACAAGTTTGTACTACTAAATCTGTAAAAGTGTAAAGATATCCAACCACTGTCTTTGACTAACTCTACCAAGTTAACATGAAATTCAAGTTTGACAAAAGGTAATGCTAACTTTCTGGATACTTAAAAAAAACCAAAACCAAACAAAACCCAAAACCAAACACAAAAACCTAACTACTTGTCATTAACATAAAGTTTCCCTGAGGCCTATCAGGCATATTTTAAAATTAGTTTTTAAAAATCCATTTCTAGACTGCAGATGAGCAAATTAGGTGCTGTCTATAACACTCTGCCAACAACAGCTGAAACAGCTTTGCCAACATTTCTAGCTTTGCCATGCAAGAAATTCGTTTCTCATTTCTATATTTCATCTAGCAGGACCACTTGAAACAATGGAGGTGGGGGGTAAAGGTTTGCTTCCCTAGGTTTCAAAAGGGTCTGGAAAAAGAAACAGGCATCTCATTATTACTAGTGGCAGAGGGTGGAGGGGTTTCATGCTTTTCCATTACCAAATGCCACGGAGAGGGAGGCTTTCTAATTTGCAAACCAGACTCCCAGGACACCAGAGTCCTCGAAACCCTGTCCCCCCCTTCTCCACTGCAGCAGCTGAGAATTATGAAGGAGGGGGACAGCTGGGCTTCTCATTAGGAGCACCGTGCCTGAATCCACGGACAGTCATCTGTACTCACCTCCCATTTGCAGCTTCCACCCTGCAGCTGATAGGTGTCTTTCAAAATCACTCTTGGGGTAAGGCAGCACAAGGCCTTTGGTACAGCAAAGTTAAAAGATAAATGCAATGGAGATATTTAGAAGGAAGCCAGCGTCCGTGTTATTTGTCTCCATGAGAACACAACTTATTAGAACACTCCAGTTCCCAAGATAAAGTATCTTCTCTGAAAGCAAGCTACATATACATCTGTTGGTTATCAATATAAGCCTTTAACAACTGTCAGATATTATGGCAACGGTCCCACTAACTGCTCACACATAACTCTGAACGTGCACGTAACTCTGAACGTGCAGAACAGTCAGCGGGGCGAAGGCCTTAATGGAGCTTTGCTCTGCAAGGGTGCCTTTTTCAGGTGGTTGAATTTCCCTTCTTTCCCTAGAGCACATCTTCACTTTAATTAATAGGTCACTGAACCGGTTTTCGTTAATTGTCAGAAGTACCTCGTCTTTGTTCCCAAGTGGAGGGACCAAAGTTCATTCAGTAGTTGTCAACGAAGCAAAATTGCAAAATGTAAGGTTTTGCACACACCTTAAATTGCCACCAATTCCTGAAGGAGCTTTTTTATGCCGCAGTAAACAATTGCCTTCTCATTAGCAACGTGCATCCTGCCAGCGATCCCTCGCTCGCCTGCTCGCACCAGATCCCCGCCAGTCAGCTGCGCAACCATTACCTGAACCTGGAATTAACTTTTAAACGCTGCTGCTCGCCAAAGCTGCGTCAACGCGACCAGTTTTAACTTCTCTACCGCAGATAACGCTGCGGGCAGAAACTTCTGCTCATACCGGCCTCATTATGAATTTAAAAAAAAAAAAAAAAAAAATTAAAA